AATGATTTTGAGTTTAGAAAGGCTAAGATCTTGAAATTCACAAAATGAATGGTCTAGATTCGTTTTGGAGGGGACTCATTTTGACCATATCTAGGGTTTAAATTGAATTTTTTTTTTTTTTTTTGGGATTGATTATTGAGATGAAGAGAGTGTGCAAAATTTGGGGTCATACAAATACCACAAACATGGTTTTCTAGAAGTGTCGTTGCATTATACTATGATACAACCGTTGCATTAGATCATTGTTCAGATTTTTAAATTTGGACTTATAGAGAACCAAGTAAAATTATAAAAATATAATTAATTGTTACTATGTGTCTATTTTATTTTATAATTTTAAAGAACCTCAATTAATACAGAGAACTAAGTAAAATTATAAAAGAGTAATTAATTGTTACTATGTGTCTATATATTTTATAATTTAAAAGAACCTCAATTAAAGAGACCATCTCAAACGAACTCCAATTCTGCTCACAATCAGAAGAGCTAGTTGTTTACTTAAGACCCGAACAACCATCTTCTAGAAGTTTGGAGTACTACTCCCATGCTGGCTCCACCATTTTGCTGCAATTTGGGTGCCATCTCTATAATTAATTTAACATTATCGTAGGAATTTCAAGCAATTTAAAATATATTAGTCAATAGAAACTCAAAAGAAAATTTCCAAATGAAATTTATTACTTGGATCTGATGTGGTCCTTTTTCTGACCACCATTTTTTTCTCGAATGACTTCAATGCACACATATATAAAATGAATTCATCAGCTGATATTTATCTTGGATTTCTAACTCAGGATCAAGTCTCTTAAAGCACTTATTAAATCCATCCATAATTTTGACTTTCATCTCAACATCTAGGTCAACATAAAAAAGCTTCGGTTTTAAATAGTACCCAGCTGCATGTAATGATCTATGAAGTTGTGCCTATCCCACTTTTCATCGATAATATTCCAAATTGGGCCATGCATGGCCTCATCATTTCTCAGACTCTCTGCGATCTCCTTCAAATCTCCATCCAGTGCGTCACATATAAAGCCCATAGAGAACTTGTTTTAGCTAGACACACGACCTTGACCAAGGGTAGAGATATTGCTAGTGAGTACTTTATCCCATATGCCTAAAAACCTTAAAAAGAATAGTATCACAGGTCCTATTTCCATTGAATTTGTAGGCCATTTACAGTTGCTCCAATCCTTCAAAGTGAGCATGGGTCTCAATGGGATCCTCCTATTATAAATGCTCTGAAGACTCAAGTAAGTAATAGCAATCTGGTGACCCCAGTCCTTATGACCTCCTTTTATGTGAACATCATGCTAAGTGTAATGGTGTGGCAGTATATTGAAAATTGTTACCTCCTTAGCCTTAGAAAGTGTGCCTTTAACATTAGACATGTCACCAACACCACATAAGGTCTATGCAATGTGCAACACTAGTTGTCTAAAAATATATGGGGCCTCTTCTGGTGAAGCAAATGAGCTGCAACTAAAT